CATGCAAGGCAAATGCCCTACCTACTGTACCACTGCTCCAGCCGCATGGCTACACTTTTTTTTTTTTTAATTGAAACACCTTGACAGCAGTTACAAAGTTTTTGGTTTAAGTCTTGGTCATACAATGATGAAACACTCGACCTTTCACCAGTGCACATTTTCCACCACCAAAAACCCCAGTATCCCCCCTCTCCGACCCCTTTCCCCTTCCTGTGTGGCAGGTAATTTCCATGTTACTCTCTCTCTACTTTGATTACATTCAATATTTCGACAACAAACCCACCATTATTATTTGGGCTTTTACCCCAACAGTCAGATCTGCTGAAAGGTAACATTAGACAACATGTTTTCTATTGATTATGAATTGCATATGATGATGCACAGCAGCTATTGTGGCCATGTGATTTTGGAACTCTTCACTTCACTTAATCACTTAATCCCCGTTATTCATCGATTTATTCGAGCGGGTGCCAGTAACGTCTCCATTCATCCCGGTTGCGTGCTAGCGTAGCCCAATGGTATCTGTTCGTTCTAGGAACATGCAGAGCCTCAAACCGATCATTTAGGGTCTTGACGAAGAAGTCTGACCATCTTATAGGTGGGCGTCCATGTGATCTTTTGATGTCCCGTGGAATCCAATCAATAATGGCTCTAGTCCAGCAGTTGTCTGTAAACCTCATTACATGTCCAGCCCATCTGATTTTTGATGTCTTGGCAAATGAGACAGCGTCCCTGATTCTTGAGCATTGACGAAGATCAGAACTCCGGATTCTATCTCTCATTTGAGTGAATCGTGATATTCCAAGCATAGTTCTTTCGATTCCTCTTTGAGAGACCCGAATAGCGTTCTCATCCCGTTTTCGTAGGGTCCAGGTCTCTGAGGCATGTTAATGCAGGAAGAACAGTGGAATCAAAGAGATGTGCTCGTAGCTGGAGGTTCTTTGTCCTTTTAGTTATTTCTTCAATGCTCTTGAAGGCATTCCAAGCCGCTCTCTTCCTCCTGCGCAACTCAGGTGCCAGGTCATTCATCATGTTGATTTCTCAACCTAGGTATATATAACTGTTGCATTCGGAGATGGTGGTTCCATTGAGAGCGAATGGAGCGTCAGGAACAAGGCTGTTTCTCATAAACATTGTTTTCGTAAGATTCAGCTGTAGTCCGACCTTTCCACATTCACGGTCAAAGTCGTTCAGCATTTGTGCCGCTTGGCTGATATTTGGTGTTATTAGAACGATGTCATCAGCAAAGCGGAGGTGGTGTAGTTGCCGACCATCTATCTTCACTCCCATGCTTTCCTATTCCAGTCGTCGCATGATGTTCTCGAGGGTGGCACTGAAGAGTTTTGGTGAAATGGTATCACCCTGCCGAACCCCTCTCTTGATATGGATGATTACTTCTTTGTAGAATGGTGAGATCTTGGTAGTGAATCCGCAATAGAGCTCACGAAGGATCCTGATGTATTGAGTTTGTACACCCTGATTGGCTAGGGCTTCCATGACCGCTTCCGTCTCAACAGAATCAAAGGCCTTCTTTAAATCAATGAACGTTAGACAGAGCGGCATCTTGAACTCCCGAGAAACCTCAATGAGCTTAGTAATCGTGTGGATATGGTCGATGGTACTGAATCCTTTTCGGAATCCAGCTTGTTCACATGGTTGTCCTTCATCTAGTGTTCTGCTAATCCTATTCAGGATGACTCGAGTGAATAGTTTGTAGATGACAGACAATAGGCAGATTGGGCGATAGTTGCCAATGTCGTGGATGTCTCCTTTCTTGTATAGTAGTACAGTCCTGCTGGTCTTCCATTGGGATGGAACCTTGCATTCAGACAGGTAGCGTGTGAAGAGCCGAGCCAATGTATTGATGAGTACTGATGGTAAGTTCTTCAGGTGTTCAGGTCTGATCTTGTCTGGGCCAGGTGCTCTTTGTTTCTTTACCGACGAAATGGCATGTTGGATTTCGGAAGGGAGAACATTGGGAACAACATATCCATCATGTGGTATGTGGTATGTGGGCAAGTGGACATGACTATTAAAGAGATCTGAGTAGAAGTCATGAATAATCTTCTCCATTGCCCTTCTGGAAGATGTGATAGATCCATCATGATGTCGGAGGGCAGTCATCTTGGTTTTGTGGTTGGTGAAGGACAGGCGGGCATTACGAATGCTTTTCCCAGCTTCTGCCGCATCTACCGGTACTGCTGCTCTCCTGTTTTTGAGGTCATCCTTGATGGCTTCTCTGCACTGTTTTGCCAGTTCGGATGTTCGCTTGTGGTTGCCTGAGGCATGTGCCAAGCCACGTTGGTGAATAAGTTCAAGAGTGTTCGAAGAAAGGCGTTTTTTTGTGGTTATCTCTCTCTTGGCATTCCTTGCACAATCATGGAGGTGCTGAATCATTCGATTGTATTCCTCATCAATGTTGTCAATGACGGCATCTTCCCATGTTGCCGCAACAGAGCCAAAGAGCTCCCAGTTGGTGGTTGTTCTGGGAGTCCTCTTCTTAAACCTTGCATTCTTTTCTCCTTGTTCTGTGAGGTAGAATTTTGCACTAAGAAGACGGTGGTCTGATCCCGTTTGGAATTTTGGGACAACAGCAACATCGGTTAGGCAAAACCGCCGATTGAATATGATGTGGTCTATTTCATTGTGGAACCGTCCATCGGGAGACTCCCATGTCCAACGTTTAGATTCAGCCTTTTGGAACTGTGAGTTACCATGGAAGGTTTTGGTTGACATGATGAACTCAGACAGTCTGTCACCCTGTTCGTTCCATTCCAGGCCATGGGTCCCGATGTGGAGTTCATCGACTGATCTTCTTGGTCCTATCTTGGCATTAAAATCACCGACAATGATCTTGTAGAAGGTGTGATCTTCTTTATAGAACTTCTCCAGCTCCATGTAGAATTTCTCAGTTTCTCTTTCACCATAACTGAATTGGAACTCTTAAGTTTTAATAATTAAATGGAATGTTTTTTTAATTTTTTTTTCTTTTTGGGTCACACCCAGCGATGCACAGGTACTCCTGGCTTTGCACTAAGGAAATATTCCTGGTGGTGCTCAGGGGACCATATGGGATGCTGGGAATCAAACCTGGGTGGGCTGCATGCAAGGCAAACGCCCTACCCGCTGTGTTATCACTCCAGCCCCTTAAGTTTTAATAATTAAATCTGGAGGGATTTCTGCCAAAAGTCACTGTGTTCAGAGCTTTGTTTCTGAGTCTCTGGGATCATGGCCAATAAGCAGCTCGATCAGCAATGGCTACACTTTTTATCGTTTCAAGTTGCAAACATTTTTTTCTGGGTCCAAGTCTGGGTCAAGAATTCACAAGTGCTCTAGGATGGGAACCCTCAGCTCCTGCGGGGCTTATCCTCATTCTCCAGTCTTTTCTCCAAGGGACAGATTTTCCTGTTGAATATATTTTCTAGCAGCAACAGTATGGCTTCCTACCTATTCACCATGGTGATGGAAACGTGGCCCTGTGTCCAGTCCTCTGGGGCTCTCCTTGCTGCCATCCCCACTTTGATCACTCGTGACACCTCGCAGCAAATGCAAGATGGGCCTTTGAGGATCTCACCAATGTATGAATGCCAAATGTACCAAAGCTAAAATGTATGAATCCCCTACCAGGACAGAGCAGACGGCACCCCCTTAGGTAATAATACCAGGGATAGAGGGTAAAGTACACAGAACTGTAGAGGTTCATGTTTGGGCATTCTTGAATGAGTCACAGATTAACCAAGACAGAAGGAGCCTGGTGGGGAGCAGGAATGATAGTACAATGGGTAAGATGTTTGCCTTCACTGGCCCATGCCTCGCCTTTCAAGCACCATCAGACCTGAGAATCGTTAGGAATGGCCCCGGATGCCCTGAGCTCAACTGAGGGTGGCTCCAACAATAATAGCCCCAGGTGTGGACATAGGTTAGTACAGTTAAGGAGCACCTAGAACAAGCAGTGAGGACCAGACATGTTTGGAGGGGCTGGCAGAGCAAGGGCTTGAGGGTCTCAGCTGGTGACTCTGTGGAGCAGGCCTCACAGCCAGGACCCAGCCAGGGCTGGATTCACCAAAGCACATCTGTGAGCCAATAACAGAAGTTGCAGACTGGAGGAGAGAGGGGCAGAGAGGAAAAGTCGCATGTTGTGCTTACTTTGCCTTTGCTGCTATCAGAAGGGATTGGCCTGAATAGAGAAGCCTAAATAGATTGGCAATGGGTGCATGCCACCACTTAGTTTTGGGTGAGCGTGTGACACTCAGTTCAGACAAAATGAGGCTTGTCACAGTGATGGGAGAATTACACAGCTTTGAATTTGGAAGCTTAAAGCATATGATTAATACTATGTACGAAGTTGAGAAGTACAAAGCTACTAGTTAGGATATTTAAATGTGTACAGAATTTTTTTGTTGTTTTTTGGCGGGGGGCACACCTGGCAGTGCTCAAGATTTACTTTTTTCTTGTTCTGTGCTCAGGGATAAGTCCTAGTGGGGACTGGCAGACCATTTGTGGTGCTGGGAATCAAACCTGGGTCTGTTGTTCTGTTTCGGCTCCAAATAGGTACAGAATTTTTAGAACACATTTTTTTTTCTTTTTGGGTCACACCCAGCGATGCACAGGGGTTACTCCTGGTTCATGCACTCAGGAATTACTCCTGGTCGTGCTCGGGGGACCATATGGGATGCTGGGAATTGAATCCGGGTCAGGCCGCATGCAAGGCAAATGCCCTACCCACTCTGCTATCACTCCAGCCACACAGAACACATTTTAAGGATCGGATAGTATAGTGCATAGGATGCTTTTTTTGTCTGGCTGACCAGGATTTCAATCTTGGGATACCAGATGGTTACTGAGCACAGAGTCAGGAGTAAGTTCTGAGTACTATTGGGCGTGGCTCAAATAAACAATCGCCAGCATGTGGCTGACAGTGGTTTGATCCCCCGTAGTTACAGTTGAGCATAGACTTGCTACACACACCCCATTTTTTTCAGTCGACAACTGCATTAAAGTGTGATAAAATATTTTATTGTTTTGACTTTCCAATAAATATTTGCTGTACAGCCTTAAAATTATAAAGTTCATGATTAACAAGAAATAAATTTTTCTCTAAATTTAGGATCATTTAGAGCTTTATAAATCAAAGGTAATAAAACCATCTTAACATTCCATATCTAAGAAATCTATGTCAAGAGTTTTTAAAAAGTGCATGATTCACAGTTTAAATATGAATAAACATGTCCCATAACCCAAAAATACTAAACAGAGATCCTATTCCTTCCTCTACAATATGGCCTTCAGAGAACAATGATTATGTCCTGAGGAGAGGCACCCAGTGAGAACGTGACTTCATGAAGAGGTGCTACTGGTATCCAATGGGTAGTGCCTGGGATGTTAAACATCCTACAATGCACAGGATTGTGCAAACACAAAAAGGGCTGCAGCGGTGCTCTCTCTCTCCCACTGCCTGGTAGTCTCGGGCCGCTTCCCCCTCCCTCACCTACCCTTCAATGGCGATGGGTAGGTGAAGGAAGAAAACAAGGGCCAGGCTGGTTGGTTTCAGTTGCAGTTTATTCCAATCTCATCTCCATTAACTAACTCCTGTTTCTCTCTCTCTGCTTCTCCCCCCAGTCATGCTACTTCATTCTTCTTTTGCCTCCCTCATCATCCTCCTCCTGGCTCTGGCCCCGCCAGCCCACTCTTACAGCCTAGTTAAATCCCAAAACATGAGGGGTTGGAGCTTACACATAGGTGTGGTCACAATCAATCAATCAATCAATAGGGGTAAAGTTCTTTCCTCAGGGGATGCTTTTAGGACAGATACTCTTTCAGCAGGACGACCCACCCAAGAGCGGAATCCCATGGGCGTGTTTCTCCTCTCCTTGTCCAACAAACATATAAGCATTCATAATATTAATCATTTTTGTATGGACACAGTTACTGTGTCTGGCATATCGAATACGTCACGGGGAGCTTGCCAGGCTCTGCCGTGCGGGCGAGATACTCTCGGTAGCTTGCCGGGCTCTCCGAGAGGGGCGGAGGAATCAAACTCGGGTCAGCCATGTTGGCTGTGTGCAAGGCAAACGCCCTACCTTACTGGACACAGTAAGAGAAACATTAAGCTTATAGAATTGCTCTCCTGGGGTCATCTCGATCTCAGGCTACAGTGTTCGGCCAGATTAGTCTTTCCTATCCCTAGCTGGGTCCTAGTCTCATTACTTTTGGAACATGACAGCATTTGTCCATGATCAAGCTCTTAACTTATAGTTAAGAATCGTGGAGCTTTGGCCTCGCCCATTTTGATGCCAGGGTAGCTCACAGCTTGCCTTGGGTCCATTCAGTCCCTCATTGGGACCCTGCTTTTGGGGTGTAGGAACCAAGGGCAACTGAGGCGTAAGTTGAGTAAGCAGATGCCCGGAATGAATAATATTCAAAGCCAATTAAATCCCAAGTTACAAAACCATAATATTAACCGTCTTCCTGTGTCTATACAAGAAGGACACTGCTTTAAGGTAAACCATTCAAAAGACATAAGGAGAGGAGAAAGGCAACATATAACTTACAACACAAGTTCAATTAGTCCTAGAAGGATCTGACACTTACAAATTAATAGAAGCTTATTAGGGGGAAAAGCTGATTAACTGGTTGGGGAAAAGAGCACAGAGAAGTGGTTACAGATAATCAAAGGAATGGGAGTGACTCGGGAGCACTGTGATGGGTGTAACCTGATAAACCTAAGCTCCCTGTGGCAAGGGAGAAAGGACAAATCAATGTTATCCTACACAAGATGAACCCCCACAACAAAGAAATATCCAACCCAAATGTGAAAGGTGCTTAGGTTAAGAATCTGTTTCGGGGCTGGACCGCACAGTGGTTAGGGTGTTTGCCTTGCACGCAGCTGACCCGGGTTCGATTCTCAGCATCCCATATGGTCCCCTGAGCACCACCAGGAGTAATTCCTGAGCGCCTGAGCCAGGAGTAACCCCTGTGCATCGCCGGGTGTGACCAAAAAGAAAAAAAAAATCTGTTTCAGAGCTGACCCAGTTTTCACTTCAAAAGCCGTACATGCACAGTAATTCTAAAACCAGTTTCACGGACAAAGACTATTTAAAAGATCAACGTAGGGGCAGAAAGACAGTACAGCGAATAGGGTGTTTGGATCCCTGGCACCTACCCCATGTGGTTCCCCAAGTCTACCAGGAGTGATCCCTCAGTGCAGAGCCAGGAGTAGGCCCTGAGCATCACCAAGAGTGGCCCAAAAACAAAAGACCAAACCTAACCAAAATTATCACCAAAAGTAATGTTTGACTTTAAATATAAAAATCATTAAACACACAAACTAAAATGGCAGAACTGGCATAGAGAGCATTTAATTTTCCTTGAACCTGTTATACTTAGAAGCTGAGTTGGGAGATGGAGAGATAATACAGCAAATAGGGTACTTGCCCTGCACGTGGTTGACTTGGGTTTATTCCCAGCCATCTCATTTGGTCTGAAATTGGCTTTGTTAATATTAGAAGTTAATTTTAACTATTTCAATGGTTACATTCAAATATTCGCTAAGCAAATAGTGCCCACTGGATACTTTTCATGACCATACTTTTAATGATATGTAAACCAGCTGGCAGATGGCAAAGTTCTGTGTTCTAAAAATGTTTGTATCACTTGCACATAGATTTGCTCGAGCGGGCGCCAGTAACATCTCCATTCGTCCCTGTTGTGTGCTAGCATAGCCCAATGGCATATTGGGGGCTCTTTCAGGGTCAAGGGAATGAGGCTCGTTATTGTTACTGTTTTTGGCATATCGAATACGCCACAGGTAGCTTGCCAGGCTCTGCTGTGTAGGCAGGATACTCCCGGTAGCTTGCTGCACTCTCTGAGAGGGAAAAATGTTTATACAAAAAACAAAATACAAACAAAAAAAACCCCAACTTATCTTAACAAGGAGCTTCACATACTTTGCTCAAATTTGTCATGATTATATGCTTAGTTTATTTGCCCTCTTTTTCCCAACTATTTCTGGTATGTGGCTTTTACAGATAGGACACAGATGAGTGTGTGAAATAAATCTGTCTTTCCCCCACAATCTCCGGTTGCAAAGCGTCAAATTTTCAAATAAGGTATCTGTGAATTAGGAAACAAACTGCTTAAAAATCTCAGTATTATACTAATCATTCACTTCCTTATTTACATTCTATGTATTTTCTCATGGTCAATAAACTCACTCAAATGATTTAAATTATCCCACCACTTAAAGAGAAAAGCATCTGAAATAATCTGGAACCAAGGAGTTAACTTAATTTCACCACTGGCTGCCTTTTTCAGAAGTTCTTTTAGTTCTTCCTTTGACACATAAGTGTAGCTTTTAACCTCATTGGGATCTGGATTCAAAGTTACATTCTTCTTCAAAAACAAAATGTAATCAATTTCATGTTCTCCCCAAATACCATCAGACTGGGCCTTGTAATACATTCGTGTTATATAAGTAAATTCTTCTGGAAGAACCTAGGATTAAATCAAACCAATAAAGTCATCAACCACAAAGCAAACAATCAACATCAATTTACCACATTTCAGTATCTTGAGCAACTTAAGCAATAGAACAAGAACATTAAAGATGTTAATGATATTAAAGATGTTAATCCTAGTGAGTTTACTTGGAAATAATACTACAGTCTCAAATATCCCCATTTTCCTCCATAGGACCAAGAGGTAAGTTAATTTTATCCCATTATTACTATTATTTCTGGTTTTCTGGGCTACACCCAGTGGTGCTTTGCATAAGGGTCACTCCTAGCAGGGCTCAAGGCACCATACTGAATGCGGGGCAAACCTGGGTTAGCCATGTGCAAGGCAAGTGCCCTGTACACTATACAAGCTCTTTGGCCCTCCAGTGACTTTGAAAAAAATAAAATTCCCTCAAATAAGAACTGAGACACACTGCTTTCATCTCACCACATACTCATCAGACCCTGCTCTCAACAGTTCAAAACTGGTTCACAGGGCCCAAGAGATAGAATAGGGGTTAAGATGACTGTTATCTGTGGCCAATCCCAGTTTGATTCCTGGTATCACATATGATCCCCTGAGTGGATATCCAGGAGTAACACCTATGCATTCTGAGGTGTGACTGAGAAAACACAAAATAAAAATCAAAACAGGTTTATAACCATTGAAAAGCTTCATAATCAGTCAATAAAGATATTAAAAGGATTTAAACTAGAAGTCAAATTATCACTATTTATGATATATGGAGTAGGTCCAGAGAGCTAGTACTGTGGGTTGGTGCTTGCCTTGCATGCGGCTAACCCAGGTTCGATCGCCAGTGTCCAAATGGTTTCCCAAGCCTGCCAGGAATAATTCTTGAGTGCAGATCCTGGATATCCCCCAAATCAAAAATTTTACATAAAGCAATAAATAACAAATAACACTAATAACAAAAGCAATCCGTGGCGGGGGGGGGGGAATGTGAGGCTTTTCTCACCCCCAACTTTAAAAACTATTACAAAGCAACAGTGGTAAAAACTGTACTACAGGAATAAAGGACCAATTAGACCAATGGAATGAAATTGACAATCCAGAAAGAACAAGAAGTCCTCTTCAACAAGTAGTGTTTAGAAAAATGATTAGCCACACACACACACACACACACACAAAACCAACCCCCCCAAAAAAAAAAACCCAGTGAATTCCTACTTCCCACTACACACAAAAGTAAATAAAAGTGAATAAAAAAAATCTCAACAGTAGCTCTAAATCCACAAAATACGGGGGACCCGCAGGGAAGAGCAATAGATAGTACAGCTGACAGGGCCCTAGTCTTGCGCTTAGCTAAGTGGGTTTGGTCCCCAGTATCCTGTATGATTCTCTGAGAACCACCAGGAGTCCTGAGTATTGCTGGGTGTGGCCCAAAAACCAAAATCCCAAAAACAGTAAAACACACCAAGGAACACATAAGCAGGACTCAATCTGAACACTGATTCCAAAGTCATCTTCAATGCCATTGTTCATAATACAGAAGCAAAAGTAAAAACCAGAATTATTTCAAATTAAGAAGCTTCTGCAGTGCTAAGGAAACAATGACTACAATAAGACTGGGAGAAAATTTTTCTTACAACATATTTGATAAATGGCTAATATCTAAAATTTATAAAGTATTGGGGCTGGAGCGATAGCACAGTGGGTAGGGTGTTTGCCTTGCACATGGCCGACCCAGGTTCGATCCCCAGCATCTCATATGGTCCCCCGAGTACCACCAGGAGTAATTCCTGAGTGCAGAGCCAGGAGTAACCCCTGTGCAACTCGGATATGACCCCCCCCCAAAAAAAAGAAAGAAAATGCAAATCAGGGCTGGAGAGATAAGTACAGCAGGTAAGGTGCTTGCCTTCCTGCAGCTGACCTGGGTTCTTTTCCTAGCATCCCAGATGGTTCCCCAGAGCACCACCAGGAGTAATTCCTGAGTGCAGAGCCAGGAATAAGCCCTGAGTACACCAGGTGTCCCCAAAACCAAAAAAAAAAAAAAAAAAAAAAGGGTCAATTTTTTAATATGGTTAATAGATCAATGTATTTCAGTTATTATTATTATTTTTTGTTAAGTAACATAGTTTTTATTCAAACTTTAGAAAGATGTGAGGAGAGAGAAAGTTGTAGTACATGTTCAAGAGAACAAAGGCTTCTCCAGAGACAAGAAACACGGAGACAAGCAAAGAGATACATGCTCAAGGGAGAACACTGACTTGAAGAGCAAGTCCAGGAGCTAAATTCTGATAAGTATTATTAAGAAATAAAAATTTAAATTGACTTTATTCAAGTTGCTTTCTAGGACTAATAATTCAAAATGTTACAAATCGGTAACCTATACTTGAATTTAAAATTCTGTCCAAACGTTTTAATGTATATTTTGATTTTAGTTTGTATAGTTGGCTGTGCAGAACTTGTTACCTCTTCCTCTGGAATTCCTAATTCAGCCTGTAAACGCCTCTGAGCAGCTCTTCTTACTCCAATTGCATCATTTTCTTCCAGCTCTCCTGGATTACTAAGTGGGTGACTACAACAGGAGTTGGTAAAGCAACCTAGTAGGTATAGATAAAAATATAAAATAGCTTTTCTTCAAAAGAGGTCTGACCATAAAAAAACTTTATTTAGTTTTGGGGCTACACCTAGCAGTGCTCAGAGCTTACTCCTGTCTCTGTGCTCAGGAAATCTCTACTGGAGGGACTTGGGGGACCACAGGCAGTGTGAGGAGTTGAACCCAGATAAGTGCTCTATCCATTGTACTTTCTTTTTGCCTCAAAACCAGGAAAATGTAAAGCTTTTAATTTTTTCAGTTAAAAAATTTTAATTTGGGGGGAGCCAGAGAGAATACAGTAGGTAGGATGCTTGTCTTGCCTATAGCTGACGGGGGTTTGACCCCTAACACTCTATACAGTACCCCAAGCCCTGCCAGGATCGATTCCTGAGCAGAGCCAGGAGTAAGCCCTGGGTACTGCCAGGTGTGCCCAGAACAAAAATTTAATTAAAAAATTATTTTTTAAGTCACATCTGAAGTGGTTTTTTTTTGGGGGGGGGGGTCATATGGGATGTCAGATCAAACCCAAGTTGGCTGGGTACAAAGCAAGTGTGCAACAAGCTGTACTACTACTCTGGCCCCAGCGCCCAAAATTTAAAGTTTTTAAATGAAAAAACAAAGGATTCTTGAGGATTTTTGTTTGGGGATCATACCTGACAATGCTTAGGAATTACTCTTGGCAGGGCTTGAGGAAATCACATGAGCTACTAGGGACTGAACCCAGGTTGGCTGCGTGCAAGGCGAGCGGCCTACCTTCTATTCTACTGCTCTGGCCCCAATTCTTTACGATTTAAATTCAACTACAACAGGCTATCAGAAATCATTTTGTAAGAAATGTGCAAATAAATTCTTTAATAATGAGTCTTTTTTTTAACCAACAACAAAATTACACAAATGAAAACCATGAAATCAAATAAATCACAGGATTTCCCCTTTGCCTTGAGTAACCAAGAAATTTTTGTTTGTTTTGGGGTCATACCCTTTGTGCAAGGCAAGGGCTCTACCAGCTGTAATACTATTCCAGACTCCTAGGAAGTTCTAAGTGACAAAGACAAAATAAACACTGTACATCAACACTGTACAACCAAAACACTGTACATTGATTACACTAACCTGGAAAGGTAATTTTAGCATCTGATCTCTGTTGCAGTAGTAGCTTATTTTCACTGTTAAATAAGAAGACACTAAAAGCTCGATGCAATAATCCTGAAAACAAAAAAGGTACCATTATTTAATTTAAAGTAGTAATTTATCTGATTTTTCCACTTGGGTTCAGAATATTAGGAACTAGCTACCATTTAAAAAAACTTGAAGTGTGTAGAGGTGGTTTCAACTACCTTGTTTTTAGGCCCAGACTCAATTGTGCTCAGAGGCTACAAACAGTTCTGTATCAGGAAAGTGCTCATGAGACCATGTGGTGTTGGGTCACCTCAAACCCAGACTTCTTGCATGCAAAGTATGTGCTCAGTTCATTGATCTATGTCTCCTGGCCCAGACTGCCATTTTTACTTACTTTTTCCCAGTCTTTTTTTTACCCCTTGCAGGGGACAATGAGAGAGTGGCACACAGGCAATGCTCATGAGTTGTTCCTGGCTCTTCATTCAGAAACTACTCCTGGCAGTGCTCAGAGACCGTAAGGGATGCCAGGGCTCAAACTTGGGTTGACCATGTGCAAAGCAAGCAACCTACCCACTGTATTATCTCTCCAGCTCCCATAGTATTATATTTGGAGAATCTCTGCATAGCTTTGTAGAGAAGAGCTCAGGAATACCAAAGAAAGTAACCAGCAATTGAAAAAAAAATGGTGAGCTGAAGGCCAGTTTTGCTACTAGCTAAATTTCTTCTCAGAGATTGTTAGCTTGGGCTCAGTCTGCTCCAGAGAAAGGGCGCATCCCTTGATGCTTATCTCTTTCTGTGGGAAGGAAAGAATTAAAGGCTTGGAATGAAATCCTATTAGTGTTGGTCTACTCCCTTTTATAATACCAAAATAACTCAAAGAAGCTGAGTAAAACTGAAGTCTGAAAATTGCTATTAAGCAAGAAAAATGGCAAGACTGGTTTTATTATTACACTGGTTAACTAACAGGAAGATAAGATTAAAGATAACATCTTTATCTGAGCATTTATTCTGGCTGACTTCAAATGCTCAAGCAAATCATACTTTAATAAAAGAGTTTAAAATAGTACCTTTATCAATGTTTTCATTCAGGTGACAACTCTTCTTGGTGTCAGCTCCAATTTTATTGTCATTTTCATCAATAACAATGCACATCTCCGACAGCAGCTGAACTTGCTTCTTATCCAGCTCATCAATATTTACTTCAGGCATTGTCACAAAAGGTCTGACCTGTCCTAGAAAACTAAAGGAGGGGCTATTAGACCACGTTTCCCTGGAGATCACATAACACCACGAGACTCAACAATGAATGTATGAGCCCAGTAAGCAATCCAGTCACTGTCAAGGGTAAGAATGACACTTGCTCTTCCTATCTGCAGGCTCACCACCACTCTTTATCCAAATCTATGTGCCTCAGGAATGCTGCAGGTTCATCCACTTTCATTACCATGTCAGACAGCAGGCACAGTTGCTTTATACAAATCTGCTCAGATCTGAAGCCAAAATGTAAATCTTTCATTTTTGGGGCCACATCCAGCTGTGTTCAGGGTTTACTTCTGGCTGAAAACTCAGGGAGTAGTCACGGCAGGGCTCTGGGGATCATATGGAGTTCTGAGGATCAAATCTGGCTTAGCTGTGTGCAAGGCAAGGGCCCTCCCTGCCTGTTGTACTAGTGCCTTGGCCCCATCTCAATATTTTATGTAAATGGCCATTGTGGAGAAATAATTTAGTGAAAGAGGCCAACAGGTTTTTATGTTCTGTGTTCCTCTAATCACATCAATTATTTTGCCATACACTGCCTCTGCGGAAATATTTTTTTATTTTAGGGCAACACCCTGTGGTGCCGGAAATGGAATCTACCCAGGACACGTTTACTCCCTCCCTGAAATTACTTTCCCAAGGTCTCATTCATATGTCAAACAGTCCCAATACTCGAGTAAGATAGAATCCAGAGAAAGAGTACTGCTGGCACCGCGCTGGCCTTGCACATGACTGACCCAGGTTCAGTGCTCAGCAGCCCATAAGGTGTTGATGCGCCCCTGCAAACCCTTGCTCTGCAGTGCAGAATCTGGAGTAAGTCCTGACCACTGCCAGGTGCGGCCCAAAAACCCAAACCCAAACCAGACCAAATCCAGTTTTCCTCAAATAGGGCTGGAGCAATAGCAAAACGGTAGGACATTTGCCTTGCACCGTTAGACGGGGGTTCGGTTCCTCCGTCCCTCTTGAAGAGCCCGGCAAGTTACCAAGAGTATCCCACTCCCACGGCAGAGCCTGGCAAGCTCCCTGTGGGGTATTCGATATGCAAAAACAGTAACAAGTCTCACGATGGAGACGTTACTGGCGCCCGCTCATCAAATCGATGAACAACAGGAGGGCAGTGCGACAGTGCTAAAGGGTTGCAAACAGAGGTTGCAAACCCTCCGTACACTGTCCCGAGGACAGTATCCAGCTGGGAGCACGTGCACAGGTGAAACCATGAATGGGTTCACGGACTCCCATGGGTCAGTGCTCAGGGACGTCAACTGAGTCAGCAGCACTGAAGCACGGGCACTGAAAGCAGAGCACCACTTGCTTCTCCCGTACCACAAGGCATTTCTCCCCCGAGCCCGGCAATGGCACTGGGGAGAGCGACCCCACCTCCCCCCACAAAACCTCTTACCCGCCGGGACACGGCAGGCGCCCCGGGCCGCGCCGCCACTGGGACGGGCCTGCGCTCGTGTTCGCGAACCTTCCGCGCACAGCGGCTCTGTCCCGGGGCCCCGAGGACAGACCCAGGGCGCGCCCGGGTCAGCAGCCGCCGGCCAAGCGCGAGTCGTTCCGCGCTGGCTGCCGGCCTCGCCCCCGGGCGTCGGGCTCTCACCACGGACGCGGCCGTCCGACGCCCTCAGGAGGCTGCTCCGGCTGCCCGCTCGCCCCCGCCCCGCGCCGTTGCCCTCCACACGGCCCGGCCCCGCAGCCCCGCGGCCCCGCGGATACCGCGCGTACCTGAGGCGCCCGGCGTCTGCGGGCTCGGGCCGCGCCGCCGCCGAAAAGGTCCGCCGCAGGCCCCGCCCCCCGCCGCAGGCCCCGCCCCCGGAGGCCGCGCGTCGAACCGCCCGCGCCCGCGCCACCGCGCGCCACATGCCCGCGGCCAATGGCGCGTCCGCCCGCGCCTGACGTCACGCTCGCGTGGTCGTCCACGCCACACCCCGCCACGCTCGCGAGGTCTGGCTGCCGCCGAGGTGCCCGTCGGCCGGCCGTGCGGCGCTCGCGGGCCGCGCTGGGATCTGGCGGAGGAGCGTGGGAAGCTGCGGCACCGCGCTGGGGCCCGGCCTGCGCCCGCCACAGCGCCCGTGGGGCTGGCCGGAAGTTGGCCTCACCCGGCGGGGGGACTTCCGCTCGCCCTGCGCGCGCTCTTCCGGCGGGCGGCCAGAGGCGCGGGGTAGGGACTTTGAAAGCGGGATACACGTGACGTTGCTTCCAGGTTTGAGTAGACATGCGTGTCATTGAGGACCGCTTTCTGGACCGTGTTCTTCACAGTGCCGGTGAAGTTTAATATGTGGACCGTACCTGCTTAGGCTGGTGTCACTTCTATAATTTTACAGGGGCTGCGAGTTGGGCAGAATGCGTGCTTGAACTGAAAATTCTGCTTCCACTGCTGTTGTGATGCAGCCGGCTGCTCCTGGAGGATGATTCAAGATTTTTCTCTTTGCTTTTTTGGCCCTGCGAGGCCCTGCTCAAGGCTTACCCAGGCATCATTCCTGGCGGTGCTTGAGGGCAAGCACCTGGAAGTGCTGAGGAGCGGGACTGGGGTGGCCACGTGCAAGGCAATCGCTCTACCCACTGTACTTTCTCTCTGGTCCAACATATTAGTATTCTGAAAGTAGTTTTGACATATTCTTGAACATCCTGGAAGACTACCCCTTCCCCCGCCCCCCTTCGAAAAACATTATGCCAACTCCATGAGGTAAACGAATCCTGCCCTCCCCCCCCCCCCCCAGCTATCCCAAAGGCTAGTAGGTATGCTCTACTTGTGGGAGGCCTGGCTTCTTTCTGTCCATGCACACGGCGGTCCCTCAGCACCAAGTCCATGACTCCCTAGCAACATGCAACTATTACCAGAGCACCACCAGGTGGTCCAAAAACTAGGAAGTCAAAGCCTTCCTTGCTTGTGTGAGGTCCGAGCACTGCAACATAAGTAAGTCATGTTTTCACAGTGGTATCACATTATGTGGTCTTGGGCAAATTCTTTTAATATGCTTGAGGACTTTCATATTCAAAGCAGACTTAAGTGAGTTTAGGAGGTGGGAAAGGGTGCCCTCACAAGAGTCATCTGCAGGCTGTAACGGTGAATGTAGAGGAATGTGTAGGTTTAAAGTTGTGTTTTAAGGCAACAAACTATGATCAAACTGAATTGTTATAAGGAACTTTTTACATTATAGAATTGTTGTAATTTTTTTGGCAAGGTCTTTAAAAAAGTATTTTAGACAGATGGTCCAGACTCCAGTTACAGTGCTCAAAAAGTTACAGTCAAGGTTTTCAACTTGGAATTAAATGAATTAAATATTGTTAAATTGTATGTATTACCTCAATAGATTTTAATAAAGCTTCTTGTATCTAATACCCACAGCAAATAAGTATATTGCATCTTATTGTGAGTAAAGTGCAATGTTTGACCACAACTGACCATAGCATGGGCCTGCTCTTAGCATTAAGAAAAGCTCTGGAGACCAGGATCTTATCCAACCTTTGAGAGGGATAGAATGGAGTCCTTCCTGCCAGGATACTCCTACAGAAGAGAGGCCTGAGGCCATCTCCAGCTCATCCTGATTATCTTCACATTTTCACACTCGCCAAGCCCCGGTCACCCCACTGTCCTCCCGTTGTTCATCAGTTTGCTCGAGTGGGCACCAGTAACGTCTCCATTGTGAGACTTGTTACTGTTTTTGGCATATCGAATATGTCACGGGTAGCCGACCCGGGTTCCATTCCTTCGCCCCTCTTGGAGGGCCCGGCAAGCTACCAGAGTATTCTGCCCACACAGCAAAGCCTGACATGACAGGTAGAAAACATTAATCCCTTTATTAATGTAAGACACTTGCTCTGTCCTTAACCCATTCTCCAGACCACTCAGCAAGTAATGTGGTACACCAAATGGGGAGTTCTCCAATCTTGCTGTGATTATGCAAAAGAAGAATTCAGTTTTATTGAGCGATCTGGCAAATTTAAAGTGAAGGTGGAGAGAAAACTGTTTCTGAAACTTGCCTTTTGCAGAAATCAGATTCTAATTGTGCAAAGGTGATTGAATAAATGTATTCTAATATGCTTGATTTAAAAGGTGTTAGGGCACGACTCTGGATCTCCACAAGCAAGGACCACGCAGGAATGCAATTAGCAAGCAGGTAGTTTATTAGCTGGCTAGCCAGGGTCAAGCCATCAGGCAAGACCCCCGAACTTTTTCAAAGGGGATCTTTTATAGGCCTTCACTGACTGTTGCAGCAAAGCCTGCACATTTCATAGGCAATAGATTTGTAATAACATATACTTTCTTAACCAATCCATTTAAAAGTACATCACTCATTAGCTTATAGATTCAAAGATAAGCATTTATGTACATAGGCATTGTGGCTAGTGGGCATCTGGTAATTTGGACATTTGGTTATCTTCTTTGTTCCCTTTGATTCTCAGCTCATGGCTCCTGGAGGCTGATAAGGGAAAAGTTCCTAACAGATAAGGAAGGGCCAACAAATGGTTTCAGAATTTACATCCCAATAAGGAAGGGCTTCACAGGTAAGGCTCTACTAGGGAGGGGGCAGGAAAGGGAGAGTTACTAATTAGTAGAGTTTTAACTCTGGAATCTCCCTCGGGGTCCCAAGGGACCTTGCAAAGTTACCCCCTTGGGCAATCTAGATGAAATTGGGTTGACTGACCTGTAGGTAGCAGCTGAATCTATAAAGGGACTCAAAATTGCATATACCATCACTGATCTAACCTTACCCTAACTGTAAAGCTAACCTTCCTGCCCTCACAAGGACGAAGATTAGGTTTCTAACTCCTCCAGCTCTAATTGTAAAAAGTAAAGTAAAAGTAAAGGCCCTCCCGTTGATCATCGAGCGGGCCCAGTAACGTCTCCATTGGAGACTTTGTTGTTACTGTGTTTGGCATATCGAATACGTCACGGGGAGCTTGCCAGGCTCTGCCGTGTGGGCAAGATCCTCTGGGTAGCTTGCCGGGCTCTCCGAGAGGGGCGGAGGAATCGAACTCGGGTCGGTCA